AGTAGACTCTCGATTATCCGCGCGCTGTTTAACCGCTTTGCGGCTCAACCGCGGCAATGTATTTTTAAAGATTTTTTTTTTTCAGTGAGTATCACATTTGTTTAAATGTTTTGTATGACAGTCAATGTTAGTTTACTATAATTTAGAGAGAACTGTACTCGCATTTACGTCATCCATCGATATTCTCCCGTTATTTTTCTTAAAAGCTCGAAATCAGGTTTCGAAAGCTCGAAACCTACCCTTTTTCCAACAAGTAGAGAATGTTAAAGAACCTTGACCAGCAAGGAGCCATAAATCTGTCTGGTGTGAGACCTCAATTAGCAAAGGGACCAACAAAGACCAAACTCAGGCACCAGTCAATCTGTAGTAGTGGGAGGAAGGAGAGTTCTTTTGAAAGAAGAGTACGATCCTGTCTGTCACTGAACTGCATTCTTCAGTTGTTATTAATACAGTAGGCAGTTCAGTTGTGTGGGAAAATACAATTTAAGTTTTTGTGCGAGAAAGTGCCGAATTACCATTGTTTTTTTTATCATTGTGACTGGTTCTTCAATAATTTAAAAATAATGGAGCAGAAAAGGAAGCGTGTAGTTTTAACAATTAACCAGAAACTCGACATAATTAAGAAGCTTGAGCAAGGATGGTCTACCAGAAACCTAGCTTTACAATATTGTATAGGTGAAACAACAGTTCGCGATCTCAGAAAAAATAAAGATAAATTGATTAATTACGCCAGTAATTTTGATTCATCGAGTGGCTTATCAGGCAGAAAAACAATGAAACTGCCAACTTATGATGAGCTTGACAAAGCAATGTTGCAATGGTTTAACCAACAAAGGGCACAAAACATTCCTGTTTCAGGAATTATCTGCGCAAAACAGGCAAAACTATATTTTAATGCAAGGATAAGCAATTCATCTGCTCTTCAATGGACTGAGGGTTTGCTAGAGTTTCTGGAGCAACAAAGCGATTCTCTGCTTTCTGACAAATTGGTGTTACGCAGATTGAGAGCAACCATAAGGAAGAAAGAAGCCATGTCATTGAAACAGAAATCAATAACAGACTACTTTTCCTAAACATTCGTAGTTTTTGGTATTCATTCATCTTCCTTTATTTTAGTGCACAGTACTGTATAATGGTATTAGATTCAATTATTTTCGTGTTACGGCATTAGGATATTAGTGTGGTTAAAATTACAGTGTAGGTGTATTTCAGTGTATAAATCTACAATAGAACAGTTTCAACTATAATAGGCTATGTACCGTACTTCAGAAGCTTTATAATGAAGAACCATTGGCCTGCATCACAAAAGGTAAGCTTAAGTAGCGTTTTATGGTGTAAAAAATTAACGATGTTAAATTTATACCGGTATATCTGGCTTGTATATGTGTACTTCGGTTTATCCGATGTTTTTGATTATCCGCGCCAAGTCTCCCCGCCATTACCGCGGATAATCGAGAGTCTACTGTACTCTGTGGANGCGCATGAGCTTACGGCTAGTGTGAATCGCGACATTCAAGGACAAACAGATAAGTGGTCTCAGCTGACAGGTATAGTGCGTGAACCCGCCAGAAGACCACACTTTCCTCGGGTCATTATCTCCGTAACCGTTCAACTTTGGACAGAGGTGTTTTGGGCTATATCGGCTTACTTTAACACAAGGAACACCCTCCCGAAGTTCGGCACATTCCTCCTGGGACATCCTGTATAGGCGAAACTTTGTACGTTGCTAAAGTCATTCAGCAAGATTTTAATATTAGATAATTTCTGGCCCTCAAAACACGTAATTTCAAATGAAAGGAAATATTTATTCTTTTAAAAGCATATAATGTTTCTCAGAGACCGCACATTTTGGCAATGACATTCTCTTCTTTACGGTTGTCTTAAAAGTTTGGTTTCAACATTGCGAAAATAAAGTTCTTTAATGATTCCCATATTGAGTTAAGTAACGATTGTAGAAGCACATATGCCGTGTTCAAAGATTGCAAAACAGTTTTCAATTCTATGTTGGATTATCTCTTCCAACTCTGACCGCATAGATTGCATTTCCGCCTTGTCGGCCTTCCTATCGGCCGCCGCCTTTTCTTGGTAGGCGTCTAATTTCGTCAGCATGATATCTGCTTTATCTTGGTTGGCCCTCATCTCTTTCAGCATATCCTCTTTGTCTTTCTTCCAATTTTCTTGCATTGCCTTCATTTCTTCCTGATGGGTTTGGAACATTTCTTGCATCTGCACGCGGTAGGTATCTGCTTTTTCTTGGTTTGCCCTAATTTCTTTCAGAATTTCTTCCTTCTCAATCTTTCTATCGGCCTCTGCCTTCGCCAGCATTTCGATTATTCGCTGCATCTCCATTTTGTAGCAGTGAAATACTCGATGCACAATAATTCAATTATTTGTCGTGGCGTGTTTAAGTTCGTAAAAATTCTGACACTAAATTGTCACTTGTCTTGAGTTCGAATCGCGTTGGTCACGTGTGTAAGTCCACATCCCATTTCTGACACCAGTGTAACGTGTTTCGTTACTGAAGACTCCGTTCGGATTGTTAACTGGTTTATTTAACAACCTACAAGTAATGGCTACAATTATTTATAACACAGTTGCGGGGTTTCACACTTTATAACCCTAATCGCATTAATCTGTTTACACTGTTGCGGGGTTTCACGATTTATAACCCTATGCGCAAATCAGTTCACTCTATCTTCAGTAGGCTACACGTATTCACAGTACGGGAGCTATACAAGTCTCTCTCTGTTACACACTCCCAATTAATACTCAGTTATACACACATCCGGNACTTGCAAGAGAACCAGTATCACGCAATGTCTGGTGAATTCGCGTAAATACACTTCGAGATGGAATCCTTCGATCGGGAAAACGCCTTTGGTATTCTTCAACAGCAGCACGTGCATTGTCACCGCAAAATCCACACACAAAATGCATATCACAATATTCCACGTGTGAAAACACAAGAGGC